AATCAGACAACACTGGTTGAGTGGTATGTTATTAATTCAATACATAGCGAATGACTCTGAGCCGATTCTTTTTAGTCAATCAAAATTCATTCCTTTTTTTTTTATTGGACTACACTGGTCACGCTGTAGGTTCTGTAGTGGTGTTGATGTGCGACTGAATAAGTAATCCAGGGAACTCTGTGAGAATATTTTAATACAGCATTGCAGGTGTGAGCTGCTATCGGAACCGTATGTCATTCATGCCATTGACCGATGTCAATCATGATTTTGACATGGTATCCAGTCCATAGTAGTGTGCATTTTTTTAGTTTTTGTTGGTTTTTATCGGTTATTAAGGTAGTAGTAGTGGTGGTCCATTGTGTGTAATACTAAGACATACATTTTCTTAGTATTGGTGATGGTGGCTGTAGTACTTTTACTAGACATTGCGCTAACTGACACTTTGGTCTCGGTTACTATTTGATGATTTTTATTTTAATCTCAATACCCACCAAATCCATCAACCCAATTATTGAAATCTACCATTGCACACACTCAGACTGCACTAATTTACTAATCCCCTCTCATCACTGTTCCATTCTGTTTGTTTAGCATTCTGTGTGTGTGTTTATGGGTGATTGTGTGTGTGTGTGTGTGTTCAGTGCAGCTTTAATGAGAATCAGAGCAATGCAATCAGATGTATGCCTTACCAGCCATAATTATGAGGAATATGCACAGCAGTGTGGATGATAGGTCTGCTCCCTCTCTCTCTCTTGCCAGCGCTCTGTGCTGACAGATGGTTGTGTCAGTCATAATGGGACAAATCCGATCGCTACCGAATGAAAGGCGTCCCTCCAACAGAGAGAGAGAGGGAGAGAGACAGTCGATGTTTCTGTATTGATGTGTTTACTCGGGGTGAAATTGGCATCCATTAGAGAGAGGATTGTGTGTGCATGTGTGTCAGTAAGAATACAGCCTCTAAAATGAAGGCTGCATTAATTCATATTCTGTTACACATGCACAGACACTCTTCCTTTTCGTCACATGTTCACACTGTCTCTTTTTCAAACACAGACACACAAACATGCACGGCAGGGTGGACTGTGCAGACAGCTTGGCGATGCTGGGGAAGGTGTGTCTCCAGAGTTCCATTGTTCTAGTCAGAGAGGAATCTATGTGGAAAACCTCCTATATAAAAAGGGGGTAGGGAACATGGGGATGAAGGAAGAGAAAGGAGGAAAGAGCGTTTTTGTAGGAAGTGGACTAGCAGTGTCCACAAGCCAGCTTTTTGGGAAGGGCGTGAGGTGTAGTGTTTATATATTCCTGTATCGGATCTAGGCGTTGGGAGCTGTCAAGAATGTTTCTTCTATATGATATGTACAAGGCAATATTCTGTAGCCATTTTCCCAGTGGCTTTTACAAGTCTTAGAAAGAGCTTAAAAATGGATAATGGTGTCAGGATCCTCATAAACTAGAGAGAATGCAGAGAAGAAACAAGAATGAAAAAATGCTGCACATTCTTTTGCAGCTGGAATGTTACAGTAAATTATTCATCCCGTCAAGAATCCATTTCTTAGGAGGTCTCTCTTCATTCGTCTCTATCTCTCTCTTTGTCTTTCTCAATTTTTCTATGAGGCTAAAAGTGCCATGGAACACACAGGATTTCTAGCTGCACTGGGACTAAAGTCCACCAAGACAACGTCTTTCCAGCCGTGCAAAATAAAGAAGATCTGTAGAGTTGCAAAGACTAAAGTCTCAAATCCAGAGATATTCTTTATGAAAGTTCAGAGTCAGCCACACCTACCTAAAACGGCTCGTTCTAACACGCCCCACATATCTACCTCACTATGTGGGAAGATTTGCATAATGCCGCCCAAATGTTCACGCAAAGAAAGAAGGCATAACTTGTATTCTCACTGTAGGATTGTTGACGCTGCAGCCATGACATGAAGACGCTGTGTGTTTCGTTGTGAAAGTGAAACTACTTTGTTTGGTCATCCAAAAGAGGACGATATCTGCTTCGTCATGCCTAGAGCTGATCTGTGCTGGTCGCTGAGGGAATACATCAACTTTCACTGTGGACGAAGCGGAGTTCAGCCCGGGGTCGTCGAATTCGCCGGGCGCGCCGTTCTCAACCCCCCCGCCTCAGCTCACTCTAGCCCGGCCTCAGCGCACGCTAAGCCGGGGCTTCCCCTCATGCTAGGCCGCTATGTTTTTCGTTGTGAAAGTGGAACTTCTTTGTTTGGTCTTCCAAAAGAGGACACGACTACAAATCAGTGGTTAAGTTGTATTTACAACACTGTTCCAGAAGAGTTTAACCCAGATATCCAGATGTGTGCAGCACATTTTATTTACTGATCCTGGGAGAGTAACATTAGACTAAAATGCCGGCAGTTCTGACTCACAGTCTGTAAGTAAGTTTTCATTTAAAGGACTTGCCGCCACTGACGATTCAAACGCGAGTATTGGACAGTAGAGTAGCACTTGTTGTTTTTCATTTCTCCAATCACAAATGCAGACAGGGTTTTATGTTTACGTGGCGCGATGCAACGCAACGGGTAAAAAAAACCAGTCATTATAATCAGTAATTATGTCCCCACTGGATGCAACAAATGCCTCGCTTGTAATGGGTTTTAATGTTTTTGTCTCGTCGCTCCGGCCGGGACACGGCATCAACAGTATGTGAGGGGCGTAACATTTCCGTCACACGCTTGAGGTATTCGGCCAATCACAACGCACTTTGCTTTTCAGAACGATGAGCTTTGTAAAAATCGACGCGTTTCAAAAAGGCAGGGCATAGAGGAGAAACAATAATGTACAGTATGTGGAAAATAATGTGTTTTTTAACTTTA